TCATCTATTTGCCCACATTGTTTTGAGCTACGCTCTCTATAGTTATGTTTTGTGGTGTGTTCATTTTCCAAAAGAGTATATTTTTAATTATTAAAAAATGCCATTAATTTAAGAAGAAAAAGTTTATTGTATTTTATTGACAAAACATTTGAGTTTTTCTTGTATATTTTTTGATTAGACCAGATAACATTTTAAGCTGTTAAATGGTCATGCTACAGTGTGCCCGACCTGTGGGGCATGTTGTCATATTTTACTTCCATTCTTTGGGGGTTATTAAAGAAAAAAGAGCACACTGTTTTAATGAAGCAAGACCACATATTTGTACATATTTGTGAAATGAATGTGGAAAGTCAAAAACTGCTCTCCGCTACACTGTAAAAAAATTCCTTAAAATTTACGGTAAAAAACTGGCAGCTATGGTTGCCAGAATATTACTGTAAAAAATACGGTAGCAACATTGTTTTACAGACTTAATTTAAATTTACAATTAAAAACCGTGTTTCATTAACTGATATAATGTTAATATACCAACCTATTGAAGTTCTGAAATCTGTTTAGTACCTTTGTAATACTCTAACAACCACTAAAAGCAGGTGATGAGAAGGTCACATGATGAACCAAAGTTCATCACAAGCAGCTTTTCCACAAGCTGAGAAGGAAAATACTAATATATTTAGAAGGCCATTCACACAAATACTAAACGCCATCATGGTAACCCACGACACTAACGTAATGCAAAATAAACTAACAAGATTCAACAAGATTCGATGTAACATACAACCCTAATGAACATAACTTATGTGAAAAATCTAAGAATGAAAAAACACCAAATATGAAATGTAACGCATGGAATTTTGGGAATGTCAATTTACGTTTTTTCACTGTAAATTATTCCTTTTCGTTTTCAAAAAATGTATTTTAACGTAAAATGACATAAAATTTCCATTACAGTTTTTCACTGTATATAGTAGGGGAACTTACCGTTAACCAATTAATAGGTTTTTACTGTAGCATTTTTACAGTCTTTTACCATTAAAATCATGATCATTTTGCTATTACTCTATATGAAAAAATACAGAGCTGTTAGAAAGAATTCACACTCTTTAGTTTAATTTTTTTTTTTTTCATAGTTTTTATAGTTTATAGTATAGTAAAAATCCTATTAATAATACAATAAATATTTTTTTTTCTCAATGGGTAACTAAATTCAATACATTTTGAATGGAAAAAAACTTCTGACAAAACATTTACTCAGAAAGGAACATTGGATGTTACATTTATTTAAAAAAAAATTTATCCATGAGTCAAACTTTTACTTTTAGGACTTTTTTTCCACCTTAGGATGTCAAGTTAAATGCAGTATTTCTCTGGTCCTGTCACAGATTTTCAATTATAATTGAGAGATGCTGGGCCAGTCAAGAAGAAAACTGTATTTAACCATCCCATGTTGCTTTTGATGGCAACAAGCGCCTCCTGGTGAAAATCAAAGCCAGACCAGTGGCAAGATACCTGGCAAAGTAGCCAAATGGCTTCCTTCTAGCCACTATCTCACAGTGGCCAAATCTGTGAAGTGTTGAAAAAATGGTTGATGTCCCATTTAGACAGTCAAAGAGGTCTGTGAAGATCCATGAGCAGCTCCTTGGTCTTCATAACAGCTGATCTGATCTACAATTTGCTTGTAAAATATCACTAATATTACTTAATTATATTGTACAACCGCAAATAATACCGTATGCTTGTGGAAAATATCATTTAAATAAATATGCATTCAGTTTATTTAACAACACAAACAGAATGGGAATCAATCAATGGAGACTGAGTAATTTCTGAAGAAATTTTATCCAGCTAGTCATCTTGCTAATTAGCTCAATAACATGAGATGGTTAGCACATTCAATTAAAAAAAAAAATGTTGCTACAAAAATGTAACAAAATATTAGTTTATTTTTCATATGCACGCATGCAAAAAAGGGTAGGAAATGGCCTGAACAACTCTTTGAAGTGTTGTATCATCACAGATATACCTCACAGTATATTTAGAGTAAAATGTGTCATCTTTTGAGGTTATTTTTAATTTTAGTTTTACATAAATATATTCCGCAAATGTGGATTTGCATATAAGGCTATGAATTGAAGAATTACACACAGAAAACATATTACTCTTCAGCTAAATACAATTTAATTGTGTCTAGCTTATCATGTCCACCTGCAATCCTTCATGCACCAATGACTTTAACCCTCTACATTTCACACGCACAATGATGCCCAGGCACATGCGCATTTGTATCTCAAAGCAGTCGCAACAAGCCCTCACCAGGTTTTTGGGTGTGCGAGCTGGTCGTAAGTCTTCCGAGAAGCGCGATCCCCAGGAAGACTGGGACATTGCGACAGACGGTAGGCCACCGGGTTCCCACTATTTGTTCCAAGTGCATGGAGCCATCTGTCATTAAAAACAGGAAGGCCTACGTCCCCCTTCTCCCAGGAGCTCTCTTCAGCTTGCTTGGCTATTTTCAGGAACTTCACTTCTCCCTGTGTGGCTGGCGGGGCCGGGCGTGGGGCCCTGGCGGGAGCGTCTTGAAGTGGCAGCGAGGCCGAGGCTGTTGTGCCCATCTGCTGTGGGCCCAAGTGGCCGCTACATTATTAATGGGGCCACGAGCGCTGGTGACTTCTCAGATATGCAGGCCTGGCCTGAGGAAGTGCTCACCACTGACTCCTTCTGAGGAGTCAGAAAACACTAATTTTGACCCTCCACTCTTATTCTTTCCTCCATTTTCTTCTCACGCTATCTACCTTTTTAACATGTGGGTGCGGCCATTTGTAACTCTAATGTGAGAAGCTTCTGGTGTCATTCAAAAACAGTCCGTTATGCTGCTTGATTTTTGCCAACTAGTATTTGTTTCATATTATTTGAATGTATTGTTAATTGTTATCATAAACATAAACTGATTTGTAGCACAAAATAGTTTGCTACATTCTCACAACTTTCACTTCTGTTTTTTTAAAAGTAAAAGACAAAACATTCTTAAAGTAATGTTAACGGAACTTTCTTATAACCTTAATAATATTTGATATACTTTGTCATAACGTTCTGAGAAAACGTTCTGAGATCAACATTCTCGGAACGTCCTTACAATGTTATTTGTTCTTGATGAACTTTCTAAGAAATGTTTTTTGTAACCTTTAATTAACATTTCTACGGAGCCCCGCACATAGCATGCAGGGAAAAAAATAGTAGGTTAAATCTTACTATTTCATTCCCTCGATTTATAAATTGTGTGCATGATTTACTAATTAGTTCCCTCGATTTGCTAAATCGTGCACATGATTTATAAATCGAGAGAAGGAATTAGCAAATCGAGGGAGCTAAATAGTAATCGTGTGCACGTTTTAGTACATCGAGGGAACGAATTAGCAAATTGTGCACACGGTTTATTTATTTTTTCTTGCATGTCATGCTCCATACATTTCAGTTATGTCAAGAAAAATTTACATTTTAACATAACGTTCTGAGAAAACGTTCTGAGATCAACATTCTCGGAACGTCCTTACAATGTTATTTGTTCTTGATGAACTTTCTAAGAAATGTTTTTTGTAACCTTTAATTAACATTTCTACGGAGCCCCGCACATAGCATGCAGGGAAAAAAATAGTAGGTTAAATCTTACTATTTCATTCCCTCGATTTATAAATTGTGTGCATGATTTACTAATTAGTTCCCTCGATTTGCTAAATCGTGCACATGATTTATAAATCGAGAGAAGGAATTAGCAAATCGAGGGAGCTAAATAGTAATCGTGTGCACGTTTTAGTACATCGAGGGAACGAATTAGCAAATTGTGCACACGGTTTATTTATTTTTTCTTGCATGCTCCATACATTTCAGTTATGTCAAGAAAAATTTACATTTTAGCGTTCTTGGAATATTAAAAAGAAATAAAATGAAATGTTCAAATAAAATATTTTGGGTGAAAACAAAGTTAGTAAAATGTTGTAAGAAACATTTTTGTAACCTTATTGCATTAACATTATAATCACAACAAGAAAACTGGACAGTTTAAAATAAATGTTCAAATATTATTATATTTTGGGTAAAATAAATGAGTAAAAAGAATATTTAAAATAATGTTCTAATCAAAACAAGAAAACTGGACATTTCAGTGTTTCAGAAACACTTCATTTAAACCTAAATTTGTGACCTGGGATTCTTCTAGTTATTTGCCTATAGCGGCTACTGAATCTGAGGTCTCGCTCATTCACAGCAAATATCTTAATTTCATGTTGCAAACAAGGTGGATTCGCTCACTGACTTATTTTCACCTAATCTTTCCCTTACTTCTCAATCTATTAATTTCTTGTCTCTGATAAACCTGCTTTGTTTAGTACCTTCTGTGTCTTCTTCTTTCAGTCACCTTACTCATTGATTGCACTCTCTTGTCTACATTTCCGTCTGTGTTCATAAATCTATGTGTTCCTATGTGTGTGTGTTAAAGAGAAGCGGTGAAAGAGTTGGGCTGCCGGGCTCACCCATGCATGCTCAGTAAATTAGAATGAACACGAGCGCCAATCAGCTGGCGATGCCAAACACCAGCATCCTCCATGACCCCGGGCCATCTAATTTTCTGCTTAATTTTGCGGCAGTCAGTTTGCATTTTTGGATGATTATGTGGTAGGAAATTAACAATAAATAACAAATGTGGTCTGAAAGCCTGTTCCTTTCGAGACTCCCCACTCCATCGCCGGCCTTGTAGTCCACCAAAACTATTCTCTTAGTTCACCCTGTCTGTCAGAGCGGTAATGAAACTGTCTGTAGTTCATTGTAATGTAATGTGGAAGACAGTGGTGTGTATGGCTGGAATAGGGCTGTTCTTGCCAGGGTGATGGAGATACACAAAGAAAGGCCATTCTCCTTTAATCACCAACCACTTCTCTTATACAGGCTTATTTTATTGAGGCAGCGAGCACTGATGATACTCTTTCTCTCTTGCTTTTGCTCCTGTTAGAATACCTGCACAGGATGGAGACTGAGGAGGCACAGGAAATGTCCCAGATAACAGGTACGTTCAAGCCACAGTGAGGTCTGGACGATCAAAACAGTCGAGCAAAGATAACCGTTTTTTGACTGTTCAAAGACGGGCTATATATGAAGGTCTTCACAGGTGATTCTAGACCAGATTGAGGAGACTTCTACTCACCAAAATGTCTGATTAACTATTTAAGACGAAAGATGAAAAAAATTAAATTAAATAAAAAAATAAAAATCTTATATTATTTCACTCTTACCAGTTTAAAGGAACAAAAAGTTGATTACATAAAAGGGATAGTTCACCCAAAAATGTAAATCATTTACTCACCCTCATCTCATGTCATTCCAAGCCTATGACTTTATGACTTCATCAATGAATGAACAAAAACATTATTCAAAATAATTTTGTTCTGCAGAAGAAAACAGTCATACTGGTTTGGAATGACACGAACGATGCCAATCTCTCATCAGAAAGTTCTCTTTTCCATTGAAATACCAAATCAAGTACATCCAAATGTGGCCCCTGATATACATCTACTGACAAACAGATTCAATTTTAAATCGTATATTCAGCTAGATTTAAACTTGTGAAATCTTGCACATGAAGCAAAAGAAATGTTGCTGTCTGCCACAACACCTCAAGGATCTTGAATCGGCCTGGGGTTAATGCAAACACTTTCCCAGGAAAAAAAGTTAAATGGAAAAGGGAACACAGTCTGAGTGCAGGAAAAGGGTCAGCATTTGTGTTCAGTCGACATTTTCATATCTAAATAAAGTTACAAAACTTACACAAGACTTATTATAGTGAGCTCCAAACTTCTTGCATTAGCAAGAGTTATATATTTAATGCCCTGACTGTCGACACTGGGATGCAATACATCCTGGAGCAACCACAATACAACCCTTTTACTTTGAAGGGAAGTGTGCAAATTTGACACTTCTAATGTCACCAAACAGATTAAAAAAAATAAAAATAGTAGGTTTGTTCGACTTCAGATGGATTTACCCATTTGGTCAGATTTGCTGCTTGTCTCAATTCCAAAAAAATGCATTGTTTCAAATCAGACACAAATCAGAGCCGAATAAAGTCAAACACACCTAATGACTGTTTCCAAACAGTTCTCCTGAACATTCCCACCACCTGTCATTGGTCAGACACACAGATAGTCCCACCCCCCACTTCATGCCACTGGTTGAGCCAATGATGAGGAATCAGCCTGAAAATGGCTTACTTGTAATTGGCCACGTACCCACTGTAAAGTTTCAGGAGTGACAACTGCATTTAAATACGGGAGCAAATCCCCTAAATTATTGTTTTGTGTGTGTACAAAACAAAATTCACTCTCAGAAACTGTGATGATTTACACCATGGTAACCATAGCAACATTCTGGCATTTGGTATCTGCTATTTTTAACCAAAGAAATATAACAATGGCCAAAGACTCGGCAACAGAGCCGTTGTGTGTGTGTGTTTTTTTTGCACTATCATTGAGAAATTTGAACCATACTATGTTATAGACTTTTCATTAAGACCCTAAAGAATCATATCAACTTGTGGAAAATGGGCATCCTATGACCCCTTTAAGTTTGGATGGCTACTTTGCAGAGTGTGCTCTTGAAGGGTTGCCATGTCCACTTATTATAAGTGATTTCTGCAAATGCACTTGTCAACACTACCTGAATTTTTGGGAGTCCATTTGGTTGTAGAATGCGATTGTCACAATGTGTACATGGCCATTGCCTCAGCATATTAAACTTAAAAATGACATGTAAAAGGGATGGACCAGCATCTATATTTGTAACTTCTCTACTCTTTGCTCAGGAGGGGACAGCCCGAATGCTAACGAGGGGGGAGAGGACCAAGATGAGGCCATGCCTGTTCCTGAAGACTTGTCAGCAAGCACTGGCCTCCAACACAACAACCGCACAGACAAACCACTAGGTGAGTCAGACCAGCCTAAGCTGGGACACAACCACGAAACTACCTCATTTACACATTCACGCAATATTCAGTCTGTTATAGTTACCACTGTAGCCCACTTTTAAAGTCAGCCTAACACAGAAAGCTTTAAAATGTAATACTTTGTATGAAACGAGTGCATGCAACGGCTGTTGTCGTCCCTACGAGATCACAGGTCAAGTGCACTAGATTGTTCAATCACAGTCGCAGGGTCCAAAGCGTTTTAATTTAGCTCATGGTGCGCATCTTCAGTTTTTGTAATGAGATCATGTCTTTTTTTTCTATTGGCATGCATAGAAAGGAAAAAAAAAATCAAATCAAAAAGGAACCGATGTAAGAACTTTAAGTATTATTTTCCTCTCGTAAGACTGATAGTTCATAACTACTAGTTCCTGAAACTGTGGAACAATTAAAAAGCAGACTGCTAATTTAATGCACTGAAACAGCGTTTACCCACTGCCTGAGCCTACACATAACATGCTCAGTTGTGCCATGAACTCTTTAACCCACTTATTCGGAAATATTTCTCTCTGCTATTTTTAAACACTTCTACCCTTCCTTTTGTACTTCTCTTGTTTACTTCTCTTGAAATTCTATATAAAAAAAAATTTTCATCACTTATAAGTCCTTTTTGAATAAAAAGTCTAAAGGATTAAATGTAAATTGAAATTGCATTGCAAACCTGTTAAAACAATTTGTTTTCGAAGAATCATCAGTGAACTGACTTAAGCTGGAAAAATGACTTTTTGTTATCGTCTTCTTGCATTATTGACAAACTGTTTTCCTGTTTGACACTGTAAAGCTGCTTTGACACAATCAGCGTTGTATAAAGCGCTGTATAAATAAAAGTGACTTGACTTGACTAAAACTAAAAGGTACACAAACATTCAAAAGTGTGGGGTCAGTAAGACTTTTTTAATGTTTTTGAAAGTCTATTATGCTCACCAATTAGGGCTGCATTTATTTGATCAAGTAAAATATAATTATAATTTGTGTTACCATTTTCTATTTTAATACATTTAAAAATGTAATTTATTTCTGATGCAAAGCTGAATTGTCTTCAGTGTCACATGATCCTTCAGAAATCATTCTAATATGCTGATTTGCTGCTCAAGAAATATTTCTTATATTATCAATGTTAAATGTAATTGTGCTGCTTAATATTTGTGTGGAAACCATGATTTTTTTTAGAATACTTTGATGAATAAGAAGTTCAAAAGGACAGCATTTATTTGAAATAGGAACCTTTAGTAACATTGTAAATGCCTTTATTGTCACTTTTGATTAATTTAACACATCCTTGCTGGATAAAAGTATTCATTTCTTAAAAAGAAACTTTTTAATGACCTCAAGCTTTTGAGTGATAGTGTGTCATGTTTGATTGATAGGTAACAACAGAATGTCTAAGTTAGTCATTATATTAATAAATATACTGCTATCAGTGTAAATATAAAGTGGGTTAACTAAAGGCGAAAATGGGTGGGAATAAATTTGGCTAACCGGAAGTTAACATATGGCCTGTTTAATATCTTGAAGTATTTTAGTTTGGAATTTTCCCCTCCAGAAGTTCCAGATTAACTTGGACTTAATGTGTGACCCGCTCACTTTGAAGCTACTGAAAGTAAAAAACAGACTGAGAGAGAGAGAGAGAGAGATAGAGAGAGAGAAAGAAAGAAAGAAAAAAAAAGATGTGAGAGGAAACTGAAATAGGATGTGCAAGAGTTTCCTAAGAAGAACTTGCCAGAACTCAGTTTCAACACTCACTCAGGGAGATAAAATGTTCAGGAGCAACAGCAGATAGGCGCAGTATCGCAATAAATGCGAGCTTACGCTCTCTTACACGCAACACACACAACTCTGCACCTGCACTTATGCCATGCTTTCACTTCAACTGCCACGATATTCACACACTTCCACACACCCACCCACATTCAAATGCAAGTCCAAAAGACATGCTTCACTCACAAAATAGCACTTTCATATCTCACTCATGTGTTATGTATATAAAGAGCAAAGTCATATCGATAAAGTAATAAGAGACCATAGATGCTAGCAGAGGCCGCAGTGTGTTCTCATTACTTGACTGGTGAAAAGAGACCCCTTGTTAGTCAGCTGTTTGAACAGTCAGGATAACATTAAAAACACTAATAAGAATATAAACTCAACACTGCCTTTTTTTTTTTTTGCCCACTTTTTCACATACAATTCACAACTTTAGAAATGCTTACACTGATTCTAATTCTTTTCTGATTGAGATGTGAGTGTATTTGCGATGTATAGAAAGAATAATAACGCCATTAGGATTTAGACATAGAAAAAAATTTGGAGGATTGTTTTAGAGAAACAAGGAACTAAAATTCACATGCTCTGAACTCCTTAGCAAAGGTTTGTGTGAATATGTGCGTGTGCATGCATCTGTCTGTCTGCATGTTGTCCCTGAAGATATAATCAGCCAGTGTGCAAGAGGATGTGAAGACAGTATCTTCACAGTGCATCATTGCTTCTCTGATTAAGTGTATCAAGGGAGTATCTGTGCAGACTGTGCAGTACGCGGTTCGATCAGACGCATAGCAAGAGCGTAGAATATCAGGAAATCAAAACATATAGAGATGGTTCTTACAGAGCGCTGTCTCTTTGCTTTCCTGCTATGAAAGACCTAGAAACTCCTCTACAGTTATGAAAACATTTGAGGATTGAAACTGAATATCTGTGAGAAGCACAAAGAGCCAAACAATTTGTTTTAATCCTTCAAATCTTAAAAGTATATTTAAAAATAATTTTGTCATGCATTAAAGTGAAGTGTTTTTAATAGTACATTTAAAGATAATAATATATTTCAGATGTTCTAAATTGCAACTTCATCGTTACAAATATAAGTGTGTAAGTATATTAAATATGACATACAGTTTTTAAGTGTTAATTTAAGTGTATTTTATTTTGCCATATATGCTTGTCAGTACATTCAGCAGGACACTTTAACCCCATTTCAAAGACAATAGAACTAATGTACTTAAGTCCTACTTAGGTGGGTCAAAAAAGGATTATGCTTTATTTTATGGTGGCCTTGTTACAGTGTAATTATATATTTAAGTAATATTGATTAACTACATGTACATGTACTATATGTTTAGGGTTAGGATGAGTGATTGGTTTAGGGTTAGTTGCATGTAATTATGCATAGCCTATTGTTATTATTATATTAAGTACATGTAATGTGCAGCAGTGACACATAAAACAAAAAAAAACACTCTAAACTTCAGCTAATTGAGTTTGATATAAATTACTATAAACTAAAAACTATAATGTGTTTATATTATAATTTAATTTCAAATAACATGCAATTAGGTGTCCAAAACATCATGTTAATTATGCATTAAGTATCACAAGGGGTATTTCTGTTCACAACCAAATTTACCCCCGTAATGTGACATATTTTCAAGTGAAACAAGATATTCAATTAGAAAAAAAAATGAGCAGGAATTGTTTGGATAGTCAGTTAGGTGTTACATACCAGAATAGAGTCCAGGCTGAATGCTAAATTAATGCATAAATAGCCATTTGAATATTAATTAACTTAAAAAATAGCTAAGTGGCAGCAGAAAAGGAAAGACATTTTAGATTTAGATTTTGATGAAAGATTATGATTATAAACTATTTAATTCAATTAAATCACGCGTATCGATTAATCATTCATATTAAGACACAAATCAACCATTAAGAAAGTAAACAAGTCCATTTTAATTTCATGTTGATTTAAAGATGTAGAAACACTGGCTTTTTTAATTACAAAAACAGCGCTGTTTGGCTTGAGCATTAGTATTTATTAGCACTGCATGGAAAAACACTCTGTCCAGAGAAGTGCAGAAAGGTTTTCATGGTGCAGCGCCGATTTTATCATGTAATTCCTCTTTTTAAATGTATGAGGGTAACAGCCTGCTCTTAAACCTGTTGCTATATCAGATGCAAACATTTCACTAGCAAGTTCCTAAAATTGTGAGCGAAAGCAGGGTTCTTTTTGTCACATACGACACACAAATGCATACACATGCATGCTCAAACATATACTCTCACCCACCCGCTGTGGAGCCGTGGTTAATGTGCATGTAGCTCTCCTACACCGCATAAACTATTCATAGTCATGTTCAGTGCCTCGACTGGAGCATAGACGAAAATTAATTGTACTAGCAAAGTGTTATATTCGTTTATAGTGCCCTCACCATGAATACATCCCTTGCTAAAGTGCAATGTTGTGATAACTTTGTAATCGATGTAGCAGAGTGTCATAGGTTCAAACCGCTAAAGGGAGACTGACTTATCACTAACATGATCGTCAAGGCACTGAACCATTGCACTTCCAGAGAGTTGCTCTGAAAATGGAAAAAAATCTAATTTAATCCCATTTAAAATTAGTCCTTGATGTTTGTGAGGTTTGCCTGTTACGTCGCTCTGTTCTATGTAGAGCTCTTTGTTTGTCCTTGTCTGTGGCTTTTGTCACTTGCTTCCCAAAATGGGTAAATTAGGATGTGTGATAAACGTTATACAAAGTAAAAGCTCCTCTTCCCATCCCCAGTTTAGTCACAACTTCCCCAAAAGATCCATGAGAGATCGTATCATGACAACAAGCCTAGTTCCCTCTGCCAAACTCAGGTCACATCACACTGGTTAAATCATCATATCATATAAGCAGAAAGGCTGCCAGTGGATCTGTGTGTGTGTGTGTGTGCGCGAGAGGAAGAGATAGATCCTTTTATGGGTGTTAATGGGAGATTGCATTCCTGTATTGACTTTATGTTATTAACTGCTGTAATTCCTTCACACATGGAGACTGAAATCCATATAAACCTTCTTTAAAGTCAACATGAAATGCAGTTTACAACCTGTTTTACTTAATCAGACAAACTTTATTAGAGTGAAACAGAATATTCAGCGGGGGAAAAATGTAGGACGGCCTATTGGGCATTGACTGGATCGTGAAAATACTAATACAGCCAGGATACTGGAGGGGAGGGATTGAAAAGTACAAAAAAAATTGTACAAAAACTGTCACTGGGCCAGTTCCCTTTTCAAAAAGTATGTATATGTATAATTTAGTTACACTTTAGGTAATAAAATGTACATTAAGTTAATAATATCCTTTAGGGCTAAATAAAGTCTGAAGGTGTACCTTTGCAAAGGGTACTGCCCCATTGACAATCTTTTTTGTCTCATTAGTGTGTATGACGGATTTATGACGTAGCTGAAAAGGAAGGTTGTCACAGAGTTATTACATTTTGATAAAAGTCAAAGATTTTTTATGTAGAATAATTTCCACCAATGAATAGTGCACATAAAGACCAGGAGCATGCATTAAAGATGAAAATCGCTGACTTGAGTTTATTGTGTGATTATGTTCAGTCAAGACCTTCTCTGAAATGAAAGATAATACAGTTTTTAGTCAACTAGCTTTTATCTTTTCTAGTTAGTTATTTGATTAGCGTTCAGTCTTTTTCTTAGTCATTGGAGACGATTATACTGGAAACTTGATCAGTTGCTGTAAAACACAAGACAATTATCTATTTTGGAAACACAATAAAAAGAGTCTGGCTGCTAACTGTCAGAGAGTAACCTTAACACTGAACACAGTTTTGTCTGTCGGTACTCTCCAGTTCAGATCACGTGCTTCAGGTGCTGATCCCTGTCGAGTTTATTGTGTGATTATGTTCAGTCAAGACCTTCTCTGAAATGAAAGATAATACAGTTTTTAGTCAACTAGCTTTTATCTTTTCTAGTTAGTTATTTGATTAGCGTTCAGTCTTTTTCTTAGTCATTGGAGACGATTATACTGGAAACTTGATCAGTTGCTGTAAAACACAAGACAATTATTTCCGATCTATTTTGGAAACACAATAAAAAGAGTCTGGCTGCTAACTGTCAGAGAGTAACCTAAACACTGAACACAGTTTTGTCTGTCGGTACTCTCCAGTTCAGATCACGTGCTTCAGTTGCTGATCCCTGTAGTCTGAATGCAAAAAATGAAAAAGAAAAACTGTTTCACTTGTTGTGCTCAACAATTCCCTGTCTGTGCTTCCCTTTCTGTCACTTCTCCATAACTCTTGTCCTTTTTTTCGGTTGGGCCGGCTCGGGCGCTGAAGCTTCCTCTTTTCCCTTGGATTCCCATATTTCATTATTTCTGCTTGTTCCTCTTGAGTCTGTGCAAACAGAGGCTGAAGCGTGGGGAAATCAGCCTGGTACCACAGCATGTTAACCACAGGACCTTTACCCTGAGCTCTAACGGCCTGAAAAGACTCGAAATGTTTACTTCATTAGGCTGAACGGGCATTTGAACAATGATCTAGCTTATATATTTGGACATTACAGAGAATAATCTGAATATTTAACAGTTTCATTTTTATTTGATTGTTTGCTCCTTTTCGCATGAAGCACAACTGCCATCTACTCTTCCCTCCTTATACTATCACTCACAGATCACAGGGCGCAGGGCTGGGTAGGTTGAGAGAGACACACAGAGAGCAGGACAGAGACAGATGCTGGATGTGTTTTAAATGTAACCATCCTTTTCTTTAGCAGAGGCTAGAGTAGAGCAAGCAAACTGTGTATGGCTTGACTTGAATGGATGCTGTAAATTGATGTAAATGACCAATGCGATTCGTTTTTAGAACATTAGGACACCATTTTTGGATAATGTCCGCAGTTTGTTGCATCCAAAATGTAAATTCGCTCATCATTTGCTCACCTTCATGTCGTTCCAAACCTGTATGGCTTATTTTTTTCTTTGCGGTATACAAAAGAAGATATTTTAGAGAAACACACAGTTTTGGTTACCACTGACTTCCACTGTATAGACTAAACACCTTGAGACATCTCTCAAAATATCTTCTTTTATGTTCCACAGACGAAAGAAAGTCATACAGGTTTGGAATGCCATACAGTAAGGGTGAGTAAATGATGACAGAATTTTCATTTTTGGGTGAACTATCCTTTTACAAGCTCACCTGTAACCTTTTGTTAATATATTTATGATGAGATGTGCGTATATGTTTTTTTGTCTTTTAAAAAAAGAGGTTTAAAATGTGTCATTCTGTTCAGATTTCTTTATGACAGTCCAAATGCGACAACTAACCAAGCTAAGTCTCTCTCGAATGACAATTACTTCAGTATTAGTTATTTTCTCCCTTTCTCAAATTGATATTCCGCTGTGATGAAGCCAAACCAGTGGGCGAGAACATTTTTCAAAAAGGCACTTAACTTCCTCACTTGACAAACTAATGAAACTCAAAATGGAAGAAAGGAACAGTGGGCTAATGTAAATTCAGAAAAGAACGTATAATAAAAGATATAATGAAGTGCTTCCTATTTAAATCAAAATAATCGCAGGAGGTGCCGTGCTCCTGAAATGCCTTTTTAATGAGTTTCTTTTTCCGTCTTTTTGCTGCTTCACTGGTGACTCTTATTTTATAGGGCTTTTGAAGGGAGCGCCGTATTAATAGCGTTCTCGGAGAATGCCACAACATTCGGAGGAGCTGGATATTGGTTTATTCCAGGGGCGCTGATCAGGAAGACTGGCTCTCAAACACAAAGTGTTGCCTTCACTTTATTTAAATGAGCTCTGCATTTGCATTGTGATGGGTCGCTCTTATTTTAGAGCTGAAGAAGAGGAAAAAATGAGATTTTCAGATCAAATTGACCCAGGCAGTGGTGCATTACGAAACTGGCAGGCAGCGTCTGAAAGCCTCTTGTTCGATCAGGGCGCCAGTCGGCGCGCGGAGCCAGGCAGCGTGCGCAGAGCGGAGAGAGGCGCTCACGTGCGAGATCCCGCCCGCGTGTTTGATTGAGCTTTGGCACGAGGCGCCGCGTTGTTGAAGATGTAACAGCGCGGTGGAGCCGTGTAGGACACTGACCCCGCATTCACAGCGTAATAGCGCTACAGCGGCGGATGCTTTGCTTTCAGAGGGCCGATATAGTGTCTCAGACACCCGCCATTTACATGGCCATTTGTCGCTGGCACTCTTTGTTCAAAAGAAATACAGTTTGATAGAACTACAGGTGTATATAGGCTATAACTGCTATACAGGTTAAAGCACAACGAGTCACTTCATTGTGAACGCAAGTTACTTTATCACACAAGGGTATACAGAAGGCCCAAAAGGTATTTGCACTTTTAAGCCACACTTTTTTGCAATTACTTTTAACCAATAGGCTCCGAAGCAGCTTTAGTGGATGAAGTCCATTATCAGTCAGATTTCAAGTCAAGTGACATAAGGCTTTATACAATACAGATTGTGTCAAAGCAGCTTTACAGCAATACAACGGAAACAGTTTATTTTATGAATCATTACATTTCAGCAATAAGTTCAATACATTCAGTTCAGTAAGTGGCACTAGTGTCGCAAAGCTCATTGTTTATGAAACAAGTTCAATTCAGCTATAAGCAGCTCTAATTAAGGCAATCGTTATCCAGCTCAGTTCAGTTTAATGTCGATTCAGTTCAGTTGATGTTACAAAGTTAGTGTCATTGTCCATTTCGATTCAGTTTTTAATTGAACGTTTTATTCTCATCCGATCGTATCAGTGAAACTGAATTGATAATATTACTGAATATCATTTGCCTTTAAAAGTTTCAGGTGTCCTACCGTTGCACCCAACTATGAATGTATTCTACTAACATTTGATTGCATGAAAGTGTCCAAATACTTTTTGTCTTCATTTTGAACAGTACATCTACTGTTTTATCATTTACAACCTCCAAAAATCTTCTGGTTTAATATATTGTTTCAAAGCGCAATGAAACTCAACCATTTTTAAGTGTGGCTTAAGTGTCCAAATACGTTTGGGATCACTAGAAAGGAGAATATGCTGAAAAATCTAGTTCCTTTATCATTATGCATGACTTGCAGCATTTAGCAATTTTACATGTTCAACTTATAAGTTATGTGTTATCTTTTTTTCTTCTAGGGGAAAGGCCGTTCCAGTGCAGCCAGTGCGGTGCTTCCTTCACTCAGAAGGGTAACCTGCTCCGACACATCAAACTGCACTCTGGCGAGAAACCTTTCAAATGTCACCTGTGCAACTATGCTTGCCGCCGCAGAGACGCCCTCTCCGGACACCTGCGCACGCACTCGGGTAAATGCCTCTGTCACCTGGATCATTCAGACATGCCTTCATTTCTTCATTAACTCAAACCTGCACTGATCGCGTGAGACTATATTGTAGTGAAAACAATGACAGAATTGTATAGTGGGATTGAACAGATTTCTTTTTTTATTTTGAATTTACAGTTGGAAAACCTCATAAGTGTGCATACTGTGGGCGCAGCTACAAGCAACGGAGCTCACTGGAGGAACATAAGGAGCGATGTCACAACTACCTGCAGTGCATGGGCCTTCAGAATAGCATTTATACAGGTCTGTGAATGACAGAACACCAGAGCTCTCTATCAAAGTGTTTTCGATTCTTTTATAGATGGAAATGCTGCTAATCTATGATCCATTAACATATCTTACATGTGGTTTATTATCACTATAATGAAAAATAAAAGAAATAGTATTAGTGGAAGTACAACTACCACTGACGTCCTGGTAGTACTTAATGGTGACACTGCCAAAAAATGGCCCAAATATTCAGAAGTTCAGAGCCACAATTGAATGTGTAAAATGACGGGCAGCAACATGCCTGTAAAGTCCCAAGGCTTAAAAATAAAGTGTCTTAAGAAAAAAAAATTAAATAGCTTGGAGTAAGGGATAGAAAACCATGTGTGCCACATCAGTTGCATGATTGAAGGAACATCATCATCTATTATAGCTAGCTAGCACATGTCAGAGGATGATCTCAGGTTAGATAAGGACATTTGAATCTTATGCGTGGTTTCTTTGTCTTGCTTTCTATAGTGAAGGAAGAGAACAGCCAGAATGAGCAGAGGGAGGACATGCCAGCATCTGAGAGAGCCTTGGTGCTAGACAGGATAGCTAACAATGTAGCTAAGCGTAAGAGCTCTATGCCACAGAGGTTTGTGGGTAAGAGTTGAAGTTTGCTTTCATTGTACAGTATATATCGTAGATCATCCTGACATCATTGTCAAAAATGCATTTATGTATCTGACTAAAAGAATGAAGACATTGCAAAAACAATAACAGGCAGCTCCCTCTTTGCTTTCTTTTTGATGAGTAGACTTTTAAAAAAATCTGGAAAAGAAACACTATAATGCCATGCAACATGAATTTGACCGTTGCTTATTGTTTTATAAATTCTTATATATTTGCATTTGCATCTTTTATAGAAATAGCTCATGAAGTGCTCTTAGAATAACGTGATGTGTTACTAAGCCCATTTCTCTTCTTTTCATGTCGGTATTTTACTGAAGATTATTGTAAAAATTAAAAGATTAAAAGGAGGCACCATTTGAGGTTTCTCAGACTGCCACACTGGAAGAACCGTCTGGAGGATCTGTAGGCACCTGCTGAAGGTGCCTTAACGGAGCTATTGGCATCTATGGTTCTATAAAGAACCTTTAACACCCATAGAACCTTTCCATTACACAAAAGGTTCTTTATATTGGAAAAGGGTTCTTTAGATTATTAAAATGTTCTTTACACCAAGAAAAAATTAGTTCTTAACTGTTCACTCAGAGGTTCTTAGGGGAACCCAAAATACTTATATGGTGTCACTGCGAAACCCCCTTTTGGAATCTATATTATTGAGAGAGTACTTCTAAGTATCTTTTCCAGTATCTCAAAACCTTTATGAACCATTATGATCCCAGCTAACAAAAATATGTTCTAGGAACATTTTGCTAATGTTAACATGTTATAATGTTAACAAGTTATAAAAACATATTTTCTGAATGTTCTCCGACCATTCAAAATGTCATGTTTTCAAAATGTTTTTCTTGTTTATTGGAACATTATATTTGATAATTTTGGAAACATTATGGGAATGTTATTTTTGAATGTTCTCTGTAATGTAATGGCTTTTTTTTTTTTAAAATGCAAGACGAACATTGTTTCAGAAAAAACGTTGAACCATGAACATTTTGAACCATTTTTTTAGAACATTTTTAAAGACCAGATAACTTTGAACAAACATTCTATTAATGTTACAGGAAGAATGTTTGTTCATAACTTTGAGAGAACCTTTTCAGAACGTTAGCCAAAGTTCTGAGAATGTTCCCTGTTCGCTGGGATGGGGTTCCTGGAGGAACCTCTGAGCGTCTTTTTTTGAGTTTTATGAAACTAACTCCATTTATTTTCTCAAAGAACTGTCTATTTTGAAAGGGTTTCCCCTAAGTGTCTTTTCATTTCCACAGTAATAATAGTTAATATTATAAAGACACGAAAAATGTCAGAATTTGTGCCGTCCAGTAAAGTTCAATGATGCATCAATTCTAATTTTACATTTCACAGAACTCAGAGTTAAAACTTTTGCTCTTTTGGCTTTTCCACAGGAGAGAATCGTTTGTCGGAGCTGTCATTCGAAGGCGGCTCAGGTGAGCTCATGCAGCCTCATGTGATTGATCAGGCCATCAACAGTGCGATTAGCTATCTGGGAGCGGAGTCCTTGCGGCCTCTGGTTCAGACCTCCCCTGGCTCCTCCGACATGGTGGTCAGCCCTATTTACAACCTCCACAAGTCACAATCAGTCGAAGGCAATGGTGTATCTGCTAAAGACAGCGCTGCAGAGCATCTCCTTCTGCTGTCCAAGTCCAAATCGGCCTCCGTGGAGAAGGACGGCTCGCCCAGCCCCAGCGGCCAGGACTCCACTGACACCGAGAGCAACGAGGCCGGGGGAGGCGGGGCAGCGGCCGCAGGAGGTCTCATCTACCTGACCAATCACATGGCTCCAGGTATGCGAAACGGAGGTCTGCCAGTAGTGAAGGAAGAGCAGCAGCGGCATTTTGAGGCCTTGCGGGCAGTAGGGATGGAGCTGAGTATGGCGTCATCGGAGGGGTTTAAGGTGCTGAGTGGAGAGGGAGAAGAGTTGAGGGCGTACCGCTGCGTCCACTGCAGAGTTTTGTTCCTGGACCACGTTATGTATACCATCCACATGGGATGCCATGGCTTCCGAGACCCCTTCGAGTGCAACCTGTGTGGTTACCGCAGTCAGGACCGCTACGAGTTCTCATCACACATCACGCGTGGAGAGCACCGCTTCTGAGTTAACACACAGAGACGTTCCACATACACTTGACTACACGATCACACAAGCGTACTACACACACACACACACACACAACACATTCAACATTTCAGAATTTTTTTAGACACTGTCCAAACACTGGAGTTTCCTGTAACATTGATTTTTTTTGTACATACAGTTGCCTATATATTTCACTGTCTTGTCTATTTTTCTACAATGTTGTGATTTATATGTAAACTAGTGAGACTATTAAAAAAGAAAGAACTGTAACTGAAAATAGAAATTAGGTGTTTGAAAGTGCAACATTTTATATAATCCCATATAAAAGTGAAGTTTTTGCTGCCCTAAATAAATAAAATAATGCATAGAAATATAAAGTTATAAAATATTATTTGCAACGGATGTAAACTTCTTGCATATCTTACATAACTTACTTCTCTGTGTTCCAACTGTTCACTCTTCATGTTAAATATATTTTTATATTAAGCAGCCTTAAGAAGTTCATATCATTTTATAATTTATTACAATGAAAATGTCATGACATGTCCATTTTATGTAACATGACTCCCTTTTGAAATCCTCTCCTGTATATTGAACCAAATATATGGCAGTACATATTGTACCTGTTTTTTTGTTTTTTCCCTGCTTGTTTTATATTGTATTTAAAAATACAGTTTGAAAGCATTTTACTCGTACATATTTACATCAACTTCCTAGAATATATGCTTGCAAATTTTTTAAAAATAAAAATAAAATATAGTTATAATTTATTACAATGAAAATGTCATGACATGTCCATTTTATGTAACATGACTCCCTTTTGAAATGCTCTCCTGTATATTGAACCAAATATATGGCAGTACATATTGTACCTGTTTTTTTGTTTTTTCCCTGCTTGTTTTATATGGTATTTAAAAATACAGTTTGAAAGCATTTTACTCGTACATATTTACATCAACTTCCTAGAATATATATGCTTGCAAATTTTTTAAAAATAAAAATAAAATATATTTTACATTTGTTCAACCCTAACGTGTCAACTTTTGTAAAGGTAATTTAGTTTAACATTTAAATGAAGTGGCCAATGCAGATAGAGTATCTAACAAATCACAACTTATGGAATGGCATTTATTGTCACATATCACAAACATATGCTAAAGTAATTGGTACAGAACTAATCATTCATAATCGCCCATAAACTCTTACTTTAATACAGAACGGAAGTCCAAGCATCACACTTATAATACTCACTTGAATCACGTTTTATCTAAAAAAATTACTGAGCTAAATGAACATCAGCCAAAGAGATGTCACCTTTCAGTCAAATAGCTTAAAAAGGCTTGTTTTATATGGTATTTAAAAATACAGTTTGAAAGCATTTTACTCGTACATATTTACATCAACTTCCTAGAATATATATGCTTGCAAATTTTTTAAAAATAAAAATAAAATATATTTTACATTTGTTCAACCCTAACGTGTCAACTTTTGTAAAGGTAATTTAGTTTAACATTTAAATGAAGTGGCCAATGCAGATAGAGTATCTAACAAATCACAACTTATGGAATGGCATTTATTGTCACATATCACAAACATATGCTAAAGTAATTGGTACAGAACTAGTCATTCATAATCGCCCATAAACTCTTACTTTAATACAGAACGGAAGTCCAAGCATCACACTTATAATACTCACTTGAATCACGTTTTATCTAAAAAAATTACTGAGCTAAATGAACATCAGCCAAAGAGATGTCACCTTTCAGTCAAATAGCTTAAAAAGCTTAAAAAGCTGAATTTACTCTTAAGAATTTGAGAATAAAACTGAATACCTCTGTTACAATAATTGCATTCTGAGAACTTTAGGCTAAAAAGCCTTCAAAAGTCTTGCTGATTTAGTTTGTAGTGTTGAAACAGCATTTACAGTACTGTGGATTTATAGTAATAAAGAAATCACTACTTCTCAGGTATTGACAACAATGACATCATGTTTCTTGTAAACTAATATGTTTCTAAAGTGTTTGTACTTGGGCAATAACAGTAAAAGTGTGCAATGACCAAAGGGAGATGGAGTAAACCGAAGAAGAGCAGATCTGTCAAGAGAGCATGAGTGAGCCCGACCCAAGAGCTCACCAGCTCTTCGCAATGACATGCATGTCCAGATGGCTGTTGTGTGATTGGGTAGAAACGGGAAGCAGCTGTGGCCAACGCAGAGCCCCCACGCTTCAGTGGGACCTAACCGTGGAGAGAGTGCATTTGCATGAGAGGGATAATCTGGCCAGCACCCCCTCACACCACCCCATCCGCCTCAATCCCAAATCTCACTTCTCTTTTCCTCTTTGACTTACGATAGTACAGCACAAATAGACCCCACCCATTCTAAAGATGTCAAAACCAAGCTATAAGAGACAAGTATAAATTAGTCAGGCATATAAATCAATGCCCCTTGTGTTTCAAAATCTACTGCCAGATGTATCAGTTAATCAGGATAATAAGTACATGTTTATTGCACCCTATAAGTACACTTAATATTAAAGACTATTCCACATATCATCATTATAGTGACCACTGGCATTAGCCATTTAATAAAAATATTGGTCAACCACTACTATGAAACAATGTTATGTCAGCACCAAATGCTATTTTCAAGGAAAAAGAAAGAAAGAAAAAATGAATGAAGAATTTAAAAATTAAACATTAAAAAATTAAACCAAACAAACAATCTTCATACAGAAAAATACATTTTTCAAATGTGATAGAATTTTTTTGCTGACATGTCATTAAACACATTCTACTAATACAGTATGAAATAACTAATTGTCTAAAAACACACAATGGAAAATAACATTGTACCTTAATACAAACTAGAAAAAAAAATGATGCAAAGGTTAATATTAGCTGTAGATCTAGTGTGGAGAAAGGTTTTGGAGGAATTCTGAGTGCCTATTCTCCTATAGTCCAGCTGCGGGCTACCCCTGCTGTTCTGACAACCCCCAACCGCTCCTTAGGGATGGACTTACTACTTGCACTGCTGGCTAATTTTACAAAGTTTCAACACTCCTGCCAACCGCACAATCCTAAAATATTCATTAACCCGCTTGACAAAAAGATGAAAAATAAATGACACCCTTTTTTCATGGGCTTCCAGTTTTTCTAAGATTGTTTCATGAAAATTACATGACTGATTCATCTCATGTGAGCACAATCTATAATCGGATGCAGATGAAGACAACCCAAGAGTAAGAGTTTAGAATTGAATTAGACTGTTAAATCCCACTCGCCTTCTGAGGTGTATTAACAGTTCAGCCTGACTTCCTGTAAGAATGGTTTTGCAGTTGCAAGAAGCAAACAAATCAATCAGCTGTCTCGCTTTCAATTTTCCCAGACTGCAGTCATCAGGTTTCACGAAACACAGACTTTGCGTTTCACTCCAACACAAATCAGTTGTACTTTGACAATGAAAATGTAATGCTAATGCAGAGGCATAAAAACAACAAACAGAAAGAAATTTCAGGGAAGCCCGTCTCATCCAAATAAAGTGACAGAATTCAAAACCTACTGAAAATACAACAAAAAATCCAAACAAATTCATTCGAAACTGCATTATTCGGAGCTTTACAAAAAATGATTTATATTTTGTAACCTGACCAAAACCATTCGTGTTCAAATTCATTCATTCATTACTTTGTGATTTGGCCTGGGTGAGTTTCCTCACCACTGGACCAGCAACTTTTACTCCTCATGCCATCTGTGGCCACTCATTTAGAGCTCCACAATGCTCCTCTCCATCCATCAACAGTAAATGCATCAAGCCACAGTTGTTATCTGCTTCTACAATGCATAATTTTTTGTGAGGTTTATGGCTGGTGTCATCCTCAAAGCCTCTCTTTCTAAGACCTGGAAGTCCTCTAGTTTATGAAAACAGCAATTCTGATGGTTTCCCTCCAACTTCGAACTCACCATTATGTCTAAAAAAAAAACACAAAAATAGATTCTCCTATTCTGAAAAAGAAAAAAAAAAGACTGAATACTGATTGGATGGACAGTTCTCCACAGGCACAATGTGTAACTGAAAAAACTAAACCAACCATATTGTCCTCTAGGAGGAGGATGAAGAGTCCATCTTTAAAACCCCTTCCAAGGCACAAAGACATTCCTCTGGTTTACCAGATGTGGTCCGAGACCGCACTGGCTTAGCAACAGGAAGAGCACTGCAAGAGTTGATCTGTGGGTAACTCTTATCATGAGACCAGAATGCCTGCAGTGTTACCCAACTTCCCCTCCAAATCCATTCACCAAGACACAACACAATGGGAGAGTTGGTCCTAAGGTGTCTAACGCTCTGTCTATGCAGGAGCGAGAGCAGTTAAACATGGAGAGCCGTTGAACTCATTCTGTGCACACAGAAGTTAGGGCGGGCTGAACATTGTACTAGCTGACAGTTCCCTTTTGGATAAGTGCATTCAGAAGGAAACAACATACTCCAGAGTAGACCCCATGTTCCCTTTTTAGTGCAAACTTGGCACATTTCCTCTACATTACAAGGAAAAGAGTTGCAGCTCCACTCAGTGATGCAACTGTTTTCAGGAAGGCACAACTGTGGTATGCTAATTTTGAGGCTATACACATGGTTAAAAGCTCAGTTTTACAAAATCATGAGTGCTGTTTTGAGTCAATCCATTCTGAGTACATAAATTATACTTATTATGAAACTTTGCATAAATGTCACCGTTTTGTTGCAATCACAAAAAAACAGAGATTGTCTTTTTTCCCCACAGCTCTCTAAAAGAACGTTCATGAAAAAGACGGAAAAAGACCCAAGACAAATCAACCATTTATTTCAAGAAATGAACCCAGCATCATAGTCATACTAACATAAAACTCATCAATTAGTGTAATCTGAACACATGCTCAGCGACCGCAGCCAAATGTCTTGTTCCACTCTTCATATAGCTCCAGATCTTTAGAAGAGACACTGGGCCGCACAGTTTTGAGAGCCTCCTGGAAGTCATTGTAGAGTATCGACCGAACCTGTTCTGCCGAGATGGTAGCAATGTCACTTAAACTAATGCTTCGGATGGGGCCTAGGGCTGCTTCACGACACAGCTGTGTCATATCTGCCCCTGAAAACCCCTCTGTGCTCTGTACAACATTCTCCAATAACACAAATGTATCTAATCCCATTTGATTAACCAGTATCTATGCTGCTGACCTTTGATGATCCAGTTCAACCATACTAATAAGCAAAAATGACTTTAGAGAAACTAACAATTGTGCTTCATTGTTTTTTTATTGCTGAAGAGTGTTTCTTCTCCTGTGCTCTACTGTACAGACGTGAATTTACTTTTGCTTCAGCCTGAGGTTTATTCATTACACTTTTTGGTGTGAAAGGGCTTTTACATTTGCTATAAATAGAACTTCTTACATTAAAAACAATCAAGCTCTGCTCATATTTAAAAAGTAACGCAAAAGTAATATAATGCATTACTTTCCATAAAAAGTAACTAAGTAACGCAATTAGTTACTATTTTAGGGAGTAACGCAATATTGTAATGCATTACTTTTAAAAGTAACTTTCCCCAACACTGTTCTTCAACAGTGTTTAAAAAGCATCCCACTGGATGCACCTCATGAAGTTAGTTAAGAGAAAGAAGAGTGAGCAGAGACCAAATATAAGACAGATTTGACTTGGCCTGTACACAATTCCTGTACATTTGCATTATTTCATTGTTTTGATGACTTACTGTTTTAAACTGTGAAATGTGTTGATAATAAAGAATAAGCATGTGTGTACAAACACTCGACTTGTACTTACTATAATTTCAAGCATATCCATACAAATGTTATGTGCCAGACAAGTGAAACACTAAAGCCCATTCTCACATGAACCGTATTAATGTACTAAATAAATAACGGGGTATTAACACTGTGCCCGTATGAAATATTTGAAGGACATTCAGACAGACAGGACAATGTTTACCTAAACTCTTAACGGGAGCTGACAGCAGGAACTCAACTCTCAAACACAGCTTCAAACACACTCCCGTGTTCGTTCTGTTTTTGTTGAGGAAAGTAGAAACCTACCTCTGGGTTAAACGTATTTCTTGTGTGAATGCTGTAAAGTTCAGAAATAGCTGAAAGTCTATACAGCGATGAAGACCAAAACAACCATAGCTTCGACCAAACCTCGCGCCTCCTGCGTAGCTTCCGGCCCCGCCACTACTTTTTTCAAGTAACTAGTAAAGTAACGCATTACTTTTTTAATTTACAAGAAAATATCTGAGTTACTTTTTCAAAAAAGTAATGCCAGTTACTTTGTTTTCCCATTTATTGACTGACAGCTCTCCTGTCCCCATATTGGGAGAAATCGGGAGTGCAGAGGCGTTGTGTGTGCGCTGTGTGAACATGATGCTACTGTAGTTCTAGACTGTGAATGTGAATGCGCATTAATTCATCCCACTCACAAAAAACTGATTTAGTATTCATCAAAATGAATTAAAACAGTGAAATGCAAACTCAGAATATGACGCAAACCTGCAATAATTAAATGTTAAATAACACAAATGTATCTAATCCCATTTGATTAACCAGTATCTATGCTGCTGACCTTTGATGATCCAGTTCAACCATACTAATAAGCAAAAATGACTTTAGAGAAACTAACAATTGTGCTTCATTGTTTTTTTATTGCTGAAGAGTGTTTCTTCTCCTGTGCTCTACTGTACAGACGTGAATTTACTTTTGCTTCAGCCTGAGGTTTATTCATTACACTTTTTGGTGTGAAAGGGCTTTTACATTTGCTATAAATAGAACTTCTTACATTAAAAACAATCAAGCTCTGCTCATATTTAAAAAGTAACGCAAAAGTAATATAATGCATTACTTTCCATAAAAAGTAACTAAGTAACGCAATTAGTTACTATTTTAGGGAGTAACGCAATATTGTAATGCATTACTTTTAAAAGTAACTTTCCCCAACACTGTTCTTCAACAGTGTTTAAAAAGCATCCCACTGGATGCACCTCATGAAGTTAGTTAAGAGAAAGAAGAGTGAGCAGAGACCAAATATAAGACAGATTTGACTTGGCCTGTACACAATTCCTGTACATTTGCGTTATTTCATTGTTTTGATGACTTACTGTTTTAAACTGTGAAATGTGTTGATAATAAAGAATAAGCATGTGTGTACAAACACTCGACTTGTACTTACTATAATTTCAAGCATATCCATACAAATGTTATGTGCCAGACAAGTGAAACACTAAAGCCCACTCTCACATGAACCGTATTAATGTACTAAATAAATAACGGGGTATTAACACTGTGCCCGTATGAAATATTTGAAGGACATTCAGACAGACAGGACAATGTTTACCTAAACTCTTAACGGGAGCTGACAGCAGGAACTCAACTCTCAAACACAGCTTCAAACACACTCCCGTGTTCGTTCTGTTTTTGGTGAGGAAAGTAGAAACCTACCTCTGGGTTAAACGTATTTCTTGTGTGAATGCTGTAAAGTTCAGAAATAGCTGAAAGTCTATACAGCGATGAAGACCAAAACAACCATAGCTTCGACCAAACCTCGCGCCTCCTGCGTAGCTTCCGGCCCCGCCACAGTAAGATCGCGTGCGCCACCGCCTGGCGAAACACACACACATCTCTCTCTCTCTCTCACACACACACACACACATCTCTCTCTCTCTCTCTCTCTCTCTCTCTCTCTCTCTGGGTTTATTGGTGGGTCGCAACCAACTTGTTCAGGTGCATACCGCCACCTACTGTACCGGAGTGTGCAACTTCAGGGCTTCATGTACTTAGCATAGTTATAATCATTAAAAAAATATAATAATTCCCATTTCCTATATGCTGTGCTCTAACCCTGTATCTTTAAGAAAATGAAAGAGAGCCTTGCTACATTCCCACATGTTCTCATCTGCCCCCAAAATCCCCTTCAAACTCCATTCTTGTTCCAACTCGTATATCTTATCTTGCAAGATCCTCCTTTCTGCATTATATTTTTTACACCTCATAATGATATGCTCCACATTTTCTGGAACATTACAGTCATCACAATTATCTGATATGCATTTTCCCATTAAAAACAGGGTTGATTTTAAACCAGTATGTCCAAGTCTTAATCTTGATATAATCACTTCTTCTCTTCTGCATTTCCCTTTAAAAGCCTTGGCGTTAATCGATTTCTGAATATTATAATAATATCGCCCTTTGTTATCTATGCCCCACTTTTTCTGCCATGATTCTCTCACTTTTGTTTTAATTAATGGTTTGGCCTCACCTTTACCAAATGGGACTTTCATTATTTCCTCGTCCTTTAATCTCAGTGCATTCTTTGCAGTCTTAATGAAACACACACATGCTTCACATTTTTCCTTTTATTTAGTAAGTAAGCAAGTAAATAAATAAATAAAAGTAGATAGATGAAACAGATTACATAGATTATTAAAGAAGTCATTTCATTGTTTTTACATTTAATTTAAATGTGTTCATTTGATTAAATTGATTGATTTGTAGGCTATAACACTGAACACTGATGTCCCAGTAGATGAATAAATGGCAGTTTCAGTTCTCTTAATATATTGATTTATTCAGTCCAGTTCTGAATGTCACTTTGACTGTGACGGGTCTAAAAGTATGATTTGATTTTTGCCTAGATCAGTCTTATTCTACAGACCGTATAGCACTTTTATATATATAAAAAAAGAAAGAGACTTTATCAGACTTTATGATAGCATTGTTCATAAAGATAGGGTTCTCCATGTTCTCTGTTTACATTTCTGCCACATAAGAAGAAAAAGAGCAGTTTGTTGCTAAATCATAAGTTTGACATCATAATTAAGCCTAATTGTATTAATCATAATAGACTTTTGAGATAAAAAGAGATAAGTCATATTTACCACGTAAATTATTAAACATACGAAAGTATGAAATAACTATGTCATAAAAGCCATATTTATGAGATGAAACTTAGAAAGTATTACATAAAAATTCCAAATTAAGGAAAAAGTCATATCTATTGATATATGGCATAAAAATCTAAATTATTACATACACTGTAAAAAAAAAAAGCCACTACATATTTTCCAGTTTATGAAACCTTTTGAGTTTTAAAAATTAAAAAATGCTATTTTCTTGAAAGTCAAAACTCATGCCAGACCAACAGAATTGCCCCAAATGTTGTCCCAACGAGTCAAAAACAGTTTCATATTCCTGAAATGTTAAGACTGTGAGGCAGCATGAATAAATGATATAGCTAGGCTACCGTTAAAGGATTATTATTATTATTATTTATCTATTTATTGCTGTTTGATGACTTCATTTAAACCTTTTTGTTGATTTCTCCATTATTGTTAGTTATTTGTTGTGTTGTGATGTAAAGAGCTCATCATTTTACATTTGCTGATTGTCACCGTTCTTGAGGTTAGTGCCTCAAGTGTTGAGTTCAGCAGTGTAGAACTAGATCTTACATTTCTTTGCTTTATGAGGATGATTGTTATTCTCTTTCCAAACATATAGCACGGTTCACTTAACATATCAAGTGTTTTATAGACTATATACATATGATTATCACATCAGAAATGTATTTATTGTGTTAATAAAAGAAAGTTTACTGAACAAGAAATCTTTTGTTGTTGTCTTCTTCATGAATCTATTGTCTGAACGAGGCATTTTGCATTTAGTGTACTCAAAATGACAAAACATAGTTTTACTTAGCACAATTCGTTTTAAAACAATAATTGAGAGAACTTAAGTTGCCTTGCAATTTGAAGTTTTCTCAACAATAATGTCTTTTACAGTGTTAAGTCATAATTTTGACATAAAAGTCATCTCGTAATTTCGACTTTTTATGTATTTCATAATTATTAGGCTATTTATTTCAAACATGATTTTTTTCTTATATAATTTTTGCTCTGAAAATCATGACAATTGTTCCAATATAGACCAAACTCAAAGTGCTGTGTTGCTATTTCTTTGTCTTTCGTGCTGTTGAAGTCGCCCCTATGTAGCACAAAACTACAGTAACCACAAGTCTGTGCGGCGTGCGTGCGTTGACTCCCAGTGGTACGTCACATCATGAGTGTGTTGGGCTAAAGAGGCTTCAACTGGGGCTTTAAACTGAAGTCTACTGTCTAGACAGGACGCGAGGAATTAAATGCACAGTCATATAGTCGACCTCTATTCTTAGACTCTGTACTAAGCCAGCTGTGCTTTTCCATATCTGCTGTTCATAGACAATCATGGGAACAGAGGAAGCTAACGTAGACAGTTAGCTGCGAGAATTCAGAAGCCAAATCCTTCAAGAGTCACACCCTAATATTCACTGTCCTCGCACCGGCCACGCGACTGCGGGTACAGATGCGCAGCCCTGCTTCTCGGTCTGGATCACAGCAGCGCGACTGTTTCCTGCAAAGATCTCTGTGCAAAAACAACCAGAGGAAGCATCACGAAGGTCATGTATGTCCGGCTTCAGTCTCCTTCGTTGGGCGACAGATAGCGTAGGTGGGCTAGCTAGTGTGTGATCAGCATCACTCCTCTGGGCTATGAGTTCACCGATGTACACGTTTGTTTTGAGAGATGACAACAGCACTGTGTATGCCGAGGTCGCCAAGATCCTCATCTCGACTGGAAAATGGAAACGACTGAAGAAGGACAATCCTCGGTTCAATTTAATGTTGGGAGAGAGAAATCGGCTGCCTTTTGGACGGCTGGGTAAAGGATTTCAAGAGCTGCATATTAAACATTCATTGCCATCTCGTAATAATAATCTGTTTTATAATCCCATGCTGTTCACATGTGTAGTGTAAGTTAGGAGTTTCAGCAAGTTGTTATAATGCATCTAACCTATGCACATTTTCAGTACACCATGCTTTTTTTTTTTTGAGACTATGGACAGTACAAGCTGTTGGACTTATGATAATGAATGATGAAACGGTGCATGTGTGCAGCAATGCTATAATGATCAATTATTAATAATTGAGCACTGAAAACAGGACACAGCAATGCTGATCACAAAGATTCAGCTCTATAATGCATTCCTATGGATGTGTGTCTGTGTAGTAATATGCAATTAGGTTGACATCAACTTTTTCAACATGAAAATGTTAAGCTTTAATATCAATATTTCAATAGATTTTCTATAAGTTTAAGAGAATGTGTACCTTAAGTATATACATACTCACCATCGGCCCAAATGTTGAAATAATACAAGTTTAAACATTAAGAGAAATGTTATTTTTTTAATGTCTCCTTTGCTCACCAAGGCTGCATTGATTTGGTCAAAAATACAGTAAAGCGGTAATATTGTGAAATGTTATTACAGTTTAAATTAACAGTCTATTATAAAAAAAAATACTCTATTTTAATATATTTTAAAATATAATTTATTTCTGTGATGTCGAAGCTGAATTTTCAGCATCATTACTTCAGTCTTCAGTGTCACGTGATCCTCCAGAAGTCATTCTAATATGCTGATTTACTGCTCAAGAAACATTTCTTACTGTTATCTTATTATTTTATTGTAATCGTTGAAATTTAAGTACTTTTAGCTGCAGGACGCTGTGGTCACTGTTCAATATTTCGATATTTCAATGTCAAATACCCCGCTGTGTCCTCTACAGGTCATGAACCGGGGTTGATGCAGCTGGTGAATTATTACAGAGGAGCCGATAAACTGTGTCGCAAAGCATCACTGGTCAAGTATGTGGTTTATTTAAACATATCAGATGAATGAAGTTCACGTTCAGATTTACTGTATAACCACATCTTAGGATCTTAGATGTGTGATCTTAGGAACGATACTGTTAAGTTAATGCTCGTTAAAGTGAATAATGTCTTCAAATCGCACTCCTTTTTGCCATGTCGTTGAGTTAGAAACTCTGCAGTTCTTGAGTTGTGAATTATATTTAAATAAGCATGTTGGATGTTCAGGATTATCAAGACCAGTCCAGAGTTAAAGGACTTGTCAACAAGACTCCTCAGGGCTTTCCCAGCCACCTTGATGAAGTTGAGGGTGGATTTGAGACTTTAGTGCCTTATATATTCACGTCCTCACTAACTCCCAACAAGCTAATCTGGCTTTTTGTACGTCTGTATGTGTCCCATCAGCTCTATTATCTATCAGATTCTGTGTTTTGTGCTGTTAGCTTAGGTGTGTATTAAACAGTTTTGAAACCAAAAAAGAATCTTTCTCCGATGCATATATGTATGATTTGCAGTGTAGTGCACATTGTTGTGATGTCTTCAAAACAGTATTTGGTAGAAGTAGCAGAATATATGTTAGCATATTTATTTGTTTTTGAGTTGTCTTGTTACTATTCTGTCCAGTGAGACCAGATTTAGTCTTCCCACTGATTCTGTTGCTGTTAATACAGACACATTTTAGGTCTGGTTCATAATTACTTTGTGTCAGGCAATCAAGAACATCTGGGAATTGGGGATACACTTCCCTCTGCTTGTATTGTCAGGGGACAAGCCAAAGCATTCACAACTCGCTTATTATCCAGTAGACAAATTCTATATTGAAATGTCTATAATTGTCCATTAGTTTAGTTTGCAATAGTTATTTCATTCATTCCCAGCCGTGTCGAGTTGTTATTTTCTGAATAAAAAACCTTTGGTGGACTGAGATGTTGCATGTTGAAGCATGATAAAAGCAAGGCTCTTTATACATACCTAGAGAAAGTTAGGATTTTTATGCTAAGATGAATGCATCACTTCAACTCATTTTTTTTTTTTATTAATTTCTTTATTTAAATTTTCTTAAAACAACACACACAATGTCACAAAATAGCTACTACACAGGAAAAATACGACATCGAGCACCCTTAGCTGTAACACTGTATAATAGTGACTTTGAACAAAGAACATTAAAGCTTTATATTAGAACCCCCTCCCCCTCCAAAAAAAAGGGGGTAAAGGTTACTTCAAGTGCTTTAAAATCAGGAATGTTGTGCATGAGCAACAGCGTGTTAATATACAATCTTTTATCCTGATG